ACAAGTGCTCTTTTTCCACCAGTGTCTGAATAACAATTTTTACTCTAACAAGCTCCACTACTCCCCAAGCATCCGTACGGCCTCGTAAACTTGCTAACTTCTTTTTACAAGCCTGAATATGGTGCCAGAATCCCTTCGCTCGGCATTTATCCCATCGCATTAATTCTTTACCACAAAAAAGAATACGGTCACTGACCGACAAATTTTGCCCCGCACTCCAACTGTTCAGAACAACCGAGTGGCACTCTTCTTCCCTAAGCCACATGTTTTCAAATCTAAATATTTTCGCAGTCCTTGAATGCACAGTTGGTTTAATCTGAATATGCAAGGCCATGTGATCACTAACCGGTGCCTCAACAGAAGAAGCTTGGGCTTCCATGAACATATTCCACCAGTCATCATTCACCATAATTCTGTTCAATTTCTCCTCCACCCAGTATTGGGTATTTTTTCCCCGATCCCAGGTCCACTGATACCTTTGGAAAGGAAAATCTCGTAGACCACTACTTATTACTGCATCACGAAAGCCTCGAAGTCTCCGTGGCGGATGACCTACCATACCCTTTTTTCAGATTCATAAATGATATCATTGAAATCGCCAATAACCATCCATGGAAGAGTGTTGTTTTCTGCTAGCCCCTTCAGCATATTCTAGGCCGCCTGTCTTCTGACTGTGTCTGAATAAGCATAGTAACAAGTCATTCGCTAGACCGGTGCTCCCGTCGCAATTCGGACCTCACAGTCCAAGTAATTCTGATTTGTATCCCGCACATTGATGTCAATATCATCATTCCAACCAATAACCACCCCGCCACTGCTTCCTTCACTATCCATGCCCACCGAGTTCGAGAGGCCATAACTTCACAGAAGGTCCCCGACTCGATGAAATCGAGTCTTCGTTTCCTTAAAAAACAGGGCATTCGGCCGATGGCTTTGGATTAAATCAGCAACAGTTTGAATGGCGGTTGCGTTTGATATACCTCTGCAATTCCAACTCGTTATACTCATGATAGCAGTGAAGAAAAACCACCGGAAACACGCCTTGAAAGGCCGCCGGAAAACCACGCTAGGAATCAACCCTAGAAGACGACTGCCTTTTTACTTATTTAATGAGTTCTTTTGTAAAATGCTTTTCTTTTTCATATATGAATAAATAATCATATTTTTATTAATCATAGTTAATGAGTTATTTATTGCGTGTGAATGATAGAAACTGCAACATAGTGTATGTAGGCAAGAATGCATCATAAGCTTCAATCCAAGCAATTTACCAATCACATGTGTAAAGTACTACTCCGTACTACATATTATTTTGTCACTTAGCAAGAAAAAAGTTCAATTATATTTTATATTTTCTAAAGAAAAAACAAGTTTTGACTATTCTCAATTTGTTTTTCTCTTTTTTCATCTTGATCATCCCTAAAATTTTGTCGATACATTTTTGCCATATTTAATTAGATTTTTATAAATAACTTTTCTTCTCTTTACTATAAAAATGAAGAAATTCCACTTATGGTCCTTGAGTTTTGCACCAATTCCACAATTATTCATCGGTCTTTCACTTTATTCATTTTTGGTACCTAACTATTATTTTCTTGACCATATATAGTCCTTTTCCGGTAGTAAATATGCCCAGAGATGGACTAAAAATGGTCAAGAAAACAATAGTCAGGTACCAAAAATGGATAAAGTGAAAGACATGGATTAAATATGAAAATGACACAAAACTTTTGTGACTAACTTTCTTACAATATACTTCCCCCGTCCCAGAAACAACTTTCCTATTGAATTTGACGCATATTAAGGAAAAAAAATTACTAGGGGATAAATTTTTCTGTTTTAACACTGTTTGAACACTGTTTAACACTATTTTGCATTATTTTGATGTTGATAATTTGTCAAATAAGAAAATGAGAAGTTAATTTTGGAACTGTCCAAAAAAAAGGTGAAAGTTATTTCTGGGGCTAGTATATTGGAGGTTGCACCTCACTTTTCAACTAAACTTGTGTCAACATCCATTTTTCAAAAATTAGTACATACACTCTAAATATTAAAATTTTCACCATGTTTCCTTTTTATGAATTGCACTTCGCAATCCATATGACCATTTCTAACATATTCTCTTATGATACATGAATAATACGTGTTTAATAAACCTAAATCCAAGAATCAACAACAGGACTTCATGGCCCAATGGATAAGGCGCTGGTCTACGAAACCAGAGATTCTGGGTTCGATCCCCAGTGAAGTCGTTTTCTTGTTTTTTTTTAATACTTTTTTGAATTCAATGAGTTTAAGTTATATACTCGGTATTACTGTATTAGACTAAAATAATGCTTGCATCTTTTAAACCGATTTATGCTACACGAATTTCATATATTAATGCCCCCTTTTCATTTCTTTGTGCTTCTAAATGTTTACAATAATAATAATAATACGCATCTCAAGATGTCATTTGTATTCGTTTGTAATTCTTAAATTTATATTCCTATACGAGTACTCCGTAGTACTCCGTACATAACTATACACAGCTAATGACACTTTCAACTAATCATTTGTGTGGTGATAATTTCTTGACTTATGGATAATTAATTATATTCATATTCTTAATTAAGGTTAATGGTGTCATTGGAAAAATTGCAGAGATATTCTCAGCGGGTTTGATAATATCCAACTATTTTACCTTGATCAAATCTAACCCAAGTGTTCGGTTTATGGCAAAATGTATCTCCCTTTTGATTAAAATGCTAGATGTGAAATCTTCAAATTTCATTGTTTGGAAGAAAAAGACTTGATTATTATTAATAATAAGAGTAAAAAGAGACAAAATAATACAATACTTCAAGATTTAAAACATAGAATTGACTAGCCTATGAGGACCTGTCGAACTCGCCAACCCCACATCATGGTAGGCTAATTTATCAACATCGTTGAACTTGCTACTACAATGAGAGATAACCTAAACAAGAATTCATTAAATAAAAATAAAAAATATTCAAACGTCATGATTTTACCAGCCACCAGGAAGAGAGGAGAGGTTTGTTCATCCACCTCTAAAGGAAGCATCCCGATTTTACAAGTCATCGGGAAGGGAGAAGTAGTTTGACCAGCTACCTCCAAAGGAATCATGTCACTTACAGGACTTGTCTGTTTTTTTGGCGGTGCTATTCTGGAAGCACCACCTCCTTGCCATTTTTTGATCTCTTGCCAACAATTCTTTCATCGACATCCTTTCATAAGTTTGATTTAAGATCTCCATTAATAGCCAACAAAATGAACGTCGATTCCGAGACGGAGTAAAAGGAGCAGTAAACTTCATGAACAAAAAAAGCACATCCACATTTACAATTGGAACGGTCCAAACCCTCAATCAGAGAAAACTCACCCAGATGAAACAAAAATGCATAGAAAATCAAACAAAAAGAGACCCCAAACAATAAATGAATAGAAAATAAATCTCCTTCCCCTTTTAATCATCCTTGCATCCCTCTTCTCTCTTGCTCTTTCAATAGAAACATTCAGGTCCTCCTCCTTGAAAATAGGGATGATGGAGTGCCCTGAGGCCAGCGATGAGGATTGCACTCGGGGACAACTGGGGACGAAGTACCTCCCCCCACCCCCTCGACGGACGAGGATTGCACTTAAGGACAACAATCTTCCTTGTTTTATCTGACACCATAATCGTCGGCATTGAATGAAATCATTGAGGGAGAGTGTTATGCAGACGTGCAATGAATCAAAGGCAATAAATAGTGTCACAATGTGCTTTTTTTAATTTTCTTTGTTCTTATTTTTATTATTTAATGACAATGAATAGTAGGCTACTAGCGCCTGGATGGAAGGGCGGTGAAGGGTAGCAGCGTCACCCAGGACATGTACAGATCCAGAATTTAAAATCAAGCGCACAAATTTTTTTTCACTAATGTGTGTGTATGTGGGGGGGGTGGGGGGGGGGGTGGGGGGGGGGGTTGCTAGTGTAGGGGGGCAATTTTTCATTAGTGTAGGACTATGATGTTTTTTATCCACATTAATATATACACGACATGTTGATCTATTATACTCTATGTTTATCAAAAGTGATTTATTTAAGAGATTATTGGAAAAGTGATTCATTATATTGTCTCGCTCCTCATACTTTGATGAAGGATATTTTGGGTTTAATTGGATATGGAATTATCCATAAAGTTGAGGTTACAACATTGTCTAGAAGCAATAAAAAGCACCACTTGGGCTGCTTCTGCATTTTGGCTTTAAATAGCTGGAATAAAGTTGAAGTTGATGTTAACAAACACCACTTTTAGGTTTTTCAAAGCTAAAAGCTCAAAAGTGATTAATTTTTTTTTGCAAACATAGCTTTAGGGAGTGTTTGCGGTTGCTTAAAAAAATGTTTTTCAACTTTTGGCTTAAAAAGCTGAAAAGAGTGTTTTTCAAATGTTTTCAAATCACTTAAAAGTAAAAGCTGGAAGCAGGTAGAAGAGTGCTTTAAACTGCTTTTCACTTTTTCTATTACACAAAAAGTACTTATTTTCTCAAACACCACCAACTTTTTCTATTAATCACTTTTCCTAAAATCACTTTAAAAATCACTTTTTTAAAGTTGAAGCAAATGCAAACACTAAGAAATGATACATCAAAAGAAAATTATTTGAAAATATCAGTAATATTTGAAAATTATTCTAATAGTTATGAAGATAAACAATCTAAAAGGTACACGACCATCATTACTTTTTAAATAAGTTATGTCTTATTCGCATCAACTTATGTCTATCTTTTGTCAAATATTCCCTCCGTCCCTAATAACTTTGCCAAGTTTGACCGGCACGGGGATTAATAAAGTAAAAACTGTGTGGTTTATATTTGTGCAGGGTAGAGAGAATTAACTGGAACCACAAATTTCTTACTTAAAAGGGAAAGTGACAAAGTTAATAGGACATCCAAAAAAGGAAAGTTGGCAAAGTTATAAGGGACGGAGGGAGTAACTCACATTAAAAAAGAAAAAATTCAGTTCGGGCAAAATGGCAAGTGTAACAGTCGGGTATGGTTTTGAAGTCGGGACCGCAAGGAATTTGTAAATGAAGATTCCGTTAGCCACGTGAGGAAATCGTGACATTTGAGAGCGTGATAGTGATGAAACGCGGCGCTGCATCGAAGCTCATGGCGGGTCGAAATTATCTACCACCAAGTGCACTGAATCTCCGGGGCGACCCGCCTGAAATCGCCGATCGCCGTATCTTCCCACCGCGACCGCGACTTCAACCGTCGGTCATATTGGAGGAACTCGTCGCTTCCCAGCACCGCGAAATTCAAGCACTTTCACATGAAAGGCAAAGTCTCGCCGCCTCGCATGTCCGTCTGAAGCGGAAGCTCGCCGCCGCTCAGAAGGAGCTCCAACACCTCTCTGCTATAGCCTCCGCCGTCGAGGCTGAGGAAGATGCGAGGGTGCGTGAGGCCTATGAGGAATCGCTTAGAATGGAAGCCCAGGTCCTTGCACTCAACAAGCTCCGAAATGAGCTGGCCCAGGTTAACGCTGATACAGAGAACATGAGTGCCCGCCGCAAAGACCTTGTTTCTAAGTTGAATGAGATTGAGGATGCGCTCATGGGGGTTCTTTCGGATTTGGTGCGCATTCTGGGGATCAAAGCAAAAGTGGAGACCATGCACAAGGAACTTCAAAGAGGAAGGTATTTCTGTAGCACAGATCTATAAATTCAGGCATTCAGCTGCGTGAAATTGACATTTCGTTTATGTGAACAATACGGCGTATTCAGTCATTCATCCTGGATTGATGCCCTACTAATGTATGTGTAAGTATTTCCCGTTTGCAGATTCATTGAAAGCAAAAACCCTCATGGGTCCAGGTAGATGCTAACAATGTAGAAGTGTATCTGTGTATCAGTGTATGCGATTATGTTAAAAAGTGCAGCAATAGTGCTGCTGAATGACTTAATCCACACTTTGAGCAGAAATATAACATGGAGATAAGGGAGACCTATCCAGATACATCATACATGTTTGCTATTCAGGGTGCCCATGCATAGATGTAGCTGTATAGTGTAACAGTAGCTCATATAACCCATGCATAGAACTAGATCAAATCGATGTGATTTGTTCACAGGGAGCCCTCTTTGGCCTCCTCATGTTGTGTTTGTGTTAATGCCTGCCAAAAATTAAAGTGTCCCAAAGAGGTTTTTGGCATCATTAACTAGTTTCCCCTCGCTTGGTTTAGTGACTGACATATTAGAGCATGTCTTTGCCGATTTGAGGCACTTTACTTCGCATAGGCATTCAACTTGTAGGATTAACCTTTCATCTTGAAAGTCAATAATGTGCATTCTCATGTGTTGTCTTCATCTATTAACTAGATTTTTGGGATATGGACATGGACAGGGATGCTGTTAAGTACGAAAGGAAAATGAAAGTCGTCAACCTTAAACAGAGTGGCATAATGGAGATGAATATGGTTCGTATTTGTGCTGAAATAGAAAGGTTACGCGTTGAAGTTGTAGATGCAGAGAAGAGAGCAATGGCAGCTGCTGCTGCTTCACTCACCCCAAGCAGTGAGAATCTATTATGGAGTATATAGTTGAATGATTCCGTTATTCTCTTTCTAACTCACATCTCAACAAATTGCATACTAAAAGTAAATTGCTGATCCTTTTTTCTGTCAGGCTTTGCTCAAGACAATTATGAAACTCCCGAAGGTGGATATGGTGAAAAGATGTGCCTTAGTCCTTGTGCTGCTCACCAGTTTCATGTTTTGTCTTCATGATATGGCGTATATATTTTGTGGAAGATCTTTCATTTGATTTTGACACCGCTCAGGTGATATGTATATGATAGAGAGTAGTATCATCCTTGCCACTCAGGTGTAGTGGTCTTCCACATCTAGTTATTTAATACATCAATCGGTCCAAATTAGAGCCCGTATGGTAAGGACTTTTCAGCTGATATAGCTAACTGCTGATTTTTCTAAAAGAACAACGTTTTGTAAAACCATTTTCAGCTAATGAGCAAGTTATAGCCATTTGTTATTCTTCTGATAAGCAAAATAAACTGATCAATGCTTTTATTTACTTGAAAGTGTATTGTTTTTTATGATGCTCAGAGATTGTTCACGGAAAAAACAAAGATGACTACTTGAACTTGTATAGGTGTAAAATATCATAGCTGGTTATTTATGCGCCTATCAAGAAATTTTGTATGTGAAAATTTATAATCTACACACATCAACATAGTTATTCATAGTATAATACACCCATAAGAGTTTCTGTCATGTGTGGAGCATAAAGACTAGGTGGTAGTATATGGCCTTGCCTATTCGGTGGCTCGCCTTTTCCTCCCTGCTGGTCTCCAGTCATGCACTTTGTTGGCGTGTGACGTGGTAATCTGTTCATGGAGGGAGGTAGTGGTGGACTGAACCGGGCCGGTTCGGGCCTCGGGCCTAGGCCCGGCCGGGCCTCGGTTCAGTAATAGCAGGCCCGAGCCCGAACCGGGGTAGGGCGGTCCCGGGTCCGGTTCCGGGCCGGTTCGGGCCACCCGGTTTAATTTTTTTTTTTCCTTTCTCCCCACCCCCCCCCACCCCCCACCCCCCCCAAACCGGCCTAAACAGATAGCCCAAGCCCAACAGCCCAAAAAAAATGAAAAAAAAATAAAAAAAATAGATTTGGCCCGGACCCGGGCCCGAACCGGCCGGGCCGGGCCGTCAAACCCATGAACCGAGCCCGGAACCGCCCCACCCCCGGGCCTCCGGCCCGAACCGGACCCGGACCTGGAAAACCGGGGCGGGGCGGGCCCGCACAGTAGCGGGTCGGGCCGGTCCCGGGCCGGGCGGCCCGAACCGAGGCCATGCCTAGAGGGAGGTCAGTGGTTGACATTAGGGGTGCTGTTAACCTGTTGTTCTACTGCTTCAAGTTGCTACCATCACGGGCCAGTCAAAGGTGAGACACAAGATGGATGTGATGCAGGAGAGGTGCACTGAACATGGGATATGAATATAGATAGTGGGTTACCGAAAATGCCGGATCCAGAGGTGGACTTGCTGTTGTGCTACTAGTTAAGACAACGGCAATCATGTGCCAGTCTGAGGTGCAGCACAAGAAGTTGAATGAGCATCATGACAGGTATACAGAGCGTGAGAAGATGGATTTGGGTAGCAGGTTACTAAAATGGGGGTGGTGGCTGGAGGGCAGCCTCGCTGGGGCTTTAGGTAGGAATACCCTGTTTGGTGTACCCTCGCCTCCTTTGGTGCGGGTACGAGAGAGCGAGTTGATAGGGTGAAACGAGGAGTTTTAATGGCAGGCAGAGGACTACAGTCGACTGGTGTGGTAAAGTGGAGGATGAGCCATACTGAGCTGAGTTTTACATCCTTTCAGGTGCCTAATAAACCAACTCTTATTCTCAAGAGTGAAGAGTCACAATACTAGTACTGGATTCCTGAAAGTTGGCCTATTATCTATGTCTAATATGATGTGCTCGTTTCTCTTATCAATTCTTCCTAAAAGTTGAATACATCAACATCTAGATCAGGGGTTTAAAATTTGGGGTGTCCTAAATAATAATAATAATAATAATAATAATAATAATAATAATAATAATAATAATAAGGATAGGATTAGCCATACAAAAAGGTGTTGGTGCTCAAATTGTTGCCAGACTCCCTACTTGTTATTTGTAATCTTCATCCTGTTCTTATCCTAATAAAATGCCTTTCCATAATAATAATAATAATAATAATAATAATAATAATAATAATAATAATAATAATAATAATAATAATAATAATAATAATAATAATAATAATAATAATAATAATAATAAGTAATAATAATAATGATGATAATAATAATAGTAATAATGATGATGATGAAGTGGAACAATCCGAGAGAAGTTTTTATCATTTTTTTGAAAGAGGTGGGTTTATATTGAAGTCAAAGCATTAGCATTCAGAAAGGGAGTAAAATGAGTAAGGACCCATAGACAACCGTAGCCCTCGAACCAGACTTGGAGTTAATCACCTTCAAACAAGCAATGTAACCCGTTGATCCATTAATGGGCAAATTTGAGCCACAGGCGATTGAAGTAGACCTAACCTCACCCGATCTTAATGCAAGAGTCCTACAATAAAAAATAATAGCAACAAAAAAAATAACAGATTGACGACAAAAAATGACAAAAAATGCAGATAAATAAAAATTCATTTCCTTCTTCACGAGCACATCCACAGATCCACCAAGCGAGCTCTCTGGCGGTGATTCAGGAGGAGGTCGAACCATCGCTATGATTGTTGACACAAACGAGCCACGACCCCAAACCCTAGCACCAAAGGCTTTGCTCCCATCCGTCGCACGGTCGGTTTCCTGCCGAGCAACCTTCATCTGTCCCACTTCTCCGTCCAGCACATCCTTCGTCGAACCACTTTCATTCGTCGTTCTGCCGCCCATCACGTTCTCTGCCAAATTGAACCACCGGTCGCCCTGCTCGAATATGCTACTCCAAGATTTCGCTCGCCCTTCGTCCTTTGACCTGCAAAACGAAACGGAAACCGAAATTTCGAAGCCCCCAAAACACCCCCTGCCTAGGGCCGCACCTCGAAAGGCCGAGAGCAGAGAAAATGAAGCTCTGGCGGCTAAAAGCCCTAGAGAGAGAAATCGTTAATTTTAGAATTCCGTATACGGAAAAAAATCCCATTCTTGAAGAAAAGATATGGCATATGACCATTTTAAGTCATTACAAGTTTTTTTTTTTGAGATAAGTCATTACAAGTTGATAAGCTATTTTTACTTTAAAGTTATATAATTATTTACTTTTAGCAAAAAGTGGCACTACTCTCGAAAAAACAATAGAAAACGAACAAAAGAATAATTTATTCAGCATCTGGATTCATGATCTTAAAATAAATGGTTTTTTTATAACACATCATTGACACATCACATGTATTCAATAAATTTTAAATAATCTCTAAACTCTTCATCAACCATGATACTCAAATAATTAGTTTTTCTAGACCATGCATTAAATGCAATTCAACTATAACTTAAAATAATCCGGGATCCAAATCTTGATATCAGGTTTTCTTTTTCAATAATCTCCCTAAATAATCTCTCACTCACAATGATAATCTTTCAAATAATCTTTCATATCATTCAATTAAACTTTAAATATCATAATGGATGGGGATGCCCTTAGAAAAATGAAAACGATTTTTATTTTTTTATTTTTTGAACTAGCTACAAGATCCAAAAATTCGGAAAACAGGAGTACTGGACTACGTGGCAGGAATTTTACCCCCAAGCTGTTCTCAACTCTCAAAGAGTAACGACTTTTTTCCCACAAAAACGTCAAACAGTGATGAACGGAGAGACAAAAATGGCTTTCCAAAACGGCAAAACCACGAGTTCTCTCGGGCACACGCACCTAAACAAACCCTTCTAGGGCTCTAGGCTGATCAAGGTAGTGTCTTCCCTGAGCTTCTATTCTTTTTTTTTTGTCACCCTCAACTTCAAATTTAAAAAGTCATTTTATTTAAAGTGATTTTTAAAGTGTGTTTTGAAAAGGTGATTAATAGTAAACGTTGATAATGTTTAAGAGTAGAATGATTTTGAAAGAGTAAAAGTTAATAAATGTTTGATAGAAAATAACTTTTGTGTAATAGAATAGAAAAAATGAAAACTAATTTAAAGCAGCATTCGATTTTAAAGTGCTTAAAAATAGAAATGAACCACCTGTATCAAGTCAAGTAGCGCCTTTGCCTAGTTCTATTGAACTTGTAGATTTTTTTTGAAAGGTTGAACTTGTAGAAGAAGGGGGTGAACCGGGACCCGCCCCACCCTAACCCCCGGGACCGGGCCTAGGTCCGGAACCAAAACCGGTACACCGGGCTGGGCCGGGCCCACACAATAGCGGGCCGGGCAGGTTCCCGGGTCGGACGGCCCGAACCGGGTCCAACACTAATCCACACAACCAATTACCCAATTCTTCCCATCGAATTAAGCTTGGGCCAACTATGACCAAATGACTCCAAACCTCCATTAGTCCAGTCAAAAGAAGAAAAATGCTTTAAAGTAGAGTCTGGATTTGGAACCTAATTCCGCTGATGATTCACATCAGCTGAACATTTGAACATTTCAAGTAGGGGCTTTGGCCAAACGAATTGAGGAATGTTTGGTGTACCACAAATTTGTATACAAAGTGTACACTGACCTTTTTCAACTAGGAAGGTGTACAAATTGGGGTACTTATAACATTTATGAAACTAATTCTCCTGCAAACTCTGAGTATTCTATTCATAGATACCTCCCATACTCCTAGAAAGTCAGAGTTATAGTCTTAGGGACAGTTTGGCAGGGGTTAATGAATGTAGAGTTCTCTACTTCTCTACAAGGAAAAGCATTTGGTTAACATACATTACATACATTTGGAAGATATAAGCAAGTGAAAAGCTGTTAAAAAACAACCCGTGCAAACTAGGGCTGGACTCGGTTCGGGACGGGCCCAGTTTGGGCCTTGAACCGGCCAGGCCTTGGTTCACCAAAAGGAGGGCCCGGGCCCGAACCGGCGGTGACCGGTTCCGGGCCAGACCGGGCCGATTCACCCGCCCCTTTTTTATTTTATTTTTTGGCTTCTCTTATTTAACCCCCTACCCCTCCCCCTCAACCCCAAACCAGCCCAAACCACCTCAAATGGCCCAAAATACCTAATCCAACCCAAAAATTAAAAAAATTTCAAAAAAAAAAAAAAAATATTCCGGCCCGGACCGGGCCCGAACCGGCCGGGCCGGTTCACCAAATGGAGGGCCTGGAACCGGTATCCACCGGGCCGGTTCGACCCGAACCGCCGGTAGACCGGGCCACTGGGCCGGGCCGGTTCACACAGTAACCGGGTCGGGCCGGTTCCAGCCGCCCGGCCCGAGTCCAGCACTAGTGCAAACCATCCCGCTAATGGGTAAAAGAACACAAAGCACAACATCATTTCATTTCATTTTCATTTACCCCAGTGCCGCAAAGGCTCCCACCTACGGTGGGGTAGGGGGTTGGATGTACGCAGTCTTACCCCTGTACGCAGTCTTACCCCTGTACTAGAGAGACTGTTTCTGGATGACCCATAGTAAAAATCGTGTCCAAAATTGCATGGTCTGACTGCTGCTTCATAACAAAGAAGAGCGGACAGTTTAGTGAGTCATTTTGCTTTATTCCATCATATTCTCAAGCCAAAAAAATAATGAATCTTCAGCACCAAATATCAACTCAAAGATTTAAGGCTCCATTGTTAGCAAGAGTCAGACTTATTTTGCTCATTCTGCAAAATAAGAAGAATGAGTAGTTTTGAGTTATGGACTTTGCCAAACGTTTTTACTTCAAACCCAGCAATTTCAGCCAAGCAAGATCTTCGATCTCTCCCCCATTCAGGTGCTCCTCCCCCCAAAAAATAAAATAAATAATTGTTACAACCGTGCTTTCTATCCTAAAATGAGAAATGGCTGTCTTTTATAGTTTCGTGTCTTCAAGATAGGAAGATGTTGGATATCATGAATATCAAATCTTCACTCCCAGAGTTACAAGTAGCAAGCATTCCTGGGCTAAAATATTTGAAACATATTCAACCTGAAGCAATGGTAAGATTGCCAAAACAAATCAACCATAAAGAAAGAAATGGATTGAAACGCAACTTAAGTATCATCACAACCCCACATTTTCTCAATTGATCTATGAAGCACAGAAACTCACATGGAGTTTCCGTTTCAGAAACTCCAGGAAAACTGTTTAGAACTCTCCAAACACTTGTTTTTTTACTCAAATATGGTGTTTCCAATTTCACATTTCCCCATATTTCTCATGCTCCTGTGCAACATAGCAATTGATAGATGACCGAAATAAGAACGACTCCACAGTATCATGGTCATACTTTCTCTGGTTTCATTCATTAATTTACATGGTGGTTATTTTTTAAGAGAGTAGATTGAGAAAAAGAAAGTGGCAAACAGAGTTTTTTGCATTTGCATCTAACTAGAAGCACCAGTTTCTATTCTCCCTTGCAATTAATGATAACAATAATAATGTTTGGGTGCAACCAAATCCTCATATTTTAAATCTGAAAATAAGGGAGAAACAGTTACTCCATTAGTATTAGGTCTTTTTGGAATGTGTCTGTTTGTCTGAGCTAAGCCTATAGCAAACAATATAATACTGAGGTGTAGTTAGGTGGACATTCTTGGTCCTAAGGATAAGGAACAGAACGATAAGGATGTTTGAACTTTGAAGTTGCAAAACTGTCAAATATATCAAACCAAAAATAAAGTCATAAAGTGCAATAAATTTCCTTTCTTTGATGTCCTAAATCATGTTGCTCTAAGAATCTAAAGCTATTTGTTCAAAGCGGCTCACCCGAACAAGAAGAGCACCTTATCAGGCCGTTCTCGTTGCAGGTTGTACAGATCCGGAACCCGCTTTTTTCGCTGTAATACTTCCGGCTTCCATTGCAATCCTGGCAGAGGGTGAATCTATAGCCGTCGCAAACCTCACACGTGGCAGGGTTCGCCGGAGGAAGCCCTTCCAGGTAACCTTTAAGCTCGCCGGCCTCGTGGAGCTGCCTGATCTCATCTGCGCCGCCAATGTACCTCCCGCCGATGAAAACCCGCGGCAATGTCAGTTTCCTCTTTTCCCGAATACCCAGAATCGTCTTTAGCTCGTCCATGAACCTAGCGTCCATCGAGAGGTCCCGCTCGTCGATCGAGACCCGGAAGCTCCGCAAAATTGCCTGGACATCCTTGCAATCCTCGAACGTCCGGCGAACCACGCGGAGGCTCGTGAGGTAGACGACTATTTTCGTCTCGGATCCCGGGAGAGAGATCGACTTGGGCCTCTCCGGTTGATCGGCGGCGACATACGGTCTGGGTTCGGGTTCGGGTCGCGACTTGGATTGAGAGCAGGGCGGAAGCTGTCCAGAGAAGGCGCGGAGGACGGCGTTAACGCGGCGAACCCGATGAAAGATATTGGACTTCTTGATGTGGGTCTGGATCTCGGAGGTGGGGTCGTCGACGGAGCAGAGGCTGAGGACGTCTTTGAAGGAGGAGCAGGAGAAATCGGAGGAGACGCTTCTGGGAATCCGGGTCTTGGATTTGGTTCGAGATAACCACATGGGTTCTGATAGAAATCAGACCCAGATTATGCAGAAAGATGAAGAGAAAATTTATCCAGAAATTCTTCAAATTAATGGCGAGGGCGTGAGTGTGTATGAAGTCAGATTCTGTTTATGGTTACACATTTAATGAGCGAGAGGATGAGAAAATGAGAAGAAAAGAAAAACCAGAATAAGAGAAAAGTGAAGGAAAACCATACTGAAGAGAATTCGACATTGATGAAATGCCAGCTGTTAAAACTGCGTGCTAAAAAGAATATACGGACATTTTATCTAAATGTTGATTGAAATTTTATGGGATAATAGAAAACAATAAAAATAAATTATTACGGGATAACTTTTGCCTCGACAGACATAATAGTTCCAACTCGTTTATCATTGACGTGTGACTTTAGGGTGGTGGAAAGAAATATAATAAAGTTATAAATTTGTTATTTTGTGTTTAAAATATTTTGGAACAACAAGGTTGGTTGGTTGTCCTATTACGATTGAAGTGAGTTAAAAAAAAGTGTACGATTAAAATTTGTTATTCAATGCTACAATGTGTACGGTGCACAAAAGAATGATTTTATGACGTTTCTCTTTTCTTCTTTCCACAGTCTTATGTGTTTTTGATAAGTTTTTCTCTGCAATGTCAACCACAATGTCTACATCTAGGACGTGTTTACTATGCTGTTAATTCACCGTTAGCTTATTAAGAAGGTTAAAGTAAACATCCCTGGCCGGGTAAATGCGTGCTTACTACCCGTTACCCCACTTAATCGGCGTTTGTTAAACGCCCCCCTCCCCATGTTTTATTTAGCTGGTGAGTTAAGTCATTTATATTGACCATCCGGTCCTCATTTTGTAGCCTTGCAGATTTTGTATTACATCGATGTCCTAACACCACGCCCTCCTCATTTCCATGTTTCTGCCAAATTCGATCTCCTCCAAAGTGTCTCTCAAACACAAGAAAACTTTGCTCTCTTGGGTACAAGGCGTCTAACACCAACGAACTCCTCCAATGTCGCAATTGATGCCCCAGTTGACATACTAAGGTCAATACATACATACATATATTCGAAGTGGTGGAAGAGCATAAAAGGCCCTGTTTTTGCTTTTAAGAGAATCGCTACAGTAGCTATGTATATATGTTCGAATAGAGATGGAATCAATTCGATTGAACAAGAATACTCTACCTTTATTAATTGATCTTATGGACCGAGCAAAAAATGGAAGAAGAAAGTAGCCAGAGATGATGGACTTGCGACATTTCTTCGTCAATGGAGATGATAAACGGCTGGCGTGTTTCTAGCGATATAGAACAGCCAATGACATAGGTAAGATTTAAGGTTATTCTTGTGATTTCGTATAAAGTAGGTATTTTAAGCCTAATGAAGTAAACACATCTTTAATAAGCATCTCATAGTAAGCATTAGCTTATTAAGCACATGTTTTACTAGACATTGCGTTTGACACTGTGAACAAAAATTTACCAAAATGATATAAGATCTTTTAAATAAGGAGAGATATATTTTATTTATTGTTTTTTGATTGGCTATCTCTCATGCCACGTATGCACCGTTAATGTATTAGCATTGAAGATGCTCTTATTGCAATGTAGGCTGCAAACATTGACGGAACAAAATATCAATGGGTAGTTTAAGGATATCCTTTACTTATAGACATACATCATATTGTCTAGAAGCAGCGAAGCCCGAAGGAAGGTCACCCTATTTGTGGACGGTGTTACAAAATCAATATGACTAGAACTACCAGATTCTACTCCCACATTTGTCATCTTTTCCACTTGATCAGGAATTGAATTAAATGTAGTTTCTTGATGTTTAAAAGAAGTATTTTGGGGTACACCCGTTTTCATTGGAAAAACATCTTCAAAGAAAGTAGCATCACGAAGTTCTACAATAGTGTTAACATCTATGCCGGAAAATTCAGATTTAATAACCAAAAATCTCAATGGATAAGAATGTTCAACATAACCAATAAAAATAGCATCAACAGTTTTAGGCCCAAGTTTTTTTTTTGTGTTCAAGGACTAACACTTTTGCAAGACAGCCCCACACTTTAAAATATTTCAAACTTGGTTTTCTACCTGTCAAGAGTTCAAATGGACACTTATCTTTATGTTTCATGGGAATCCTATTCAAAATATGACAGGCCGTATTCAAGGCTTCCCCCCACATAAATTTAGGTAATCCAGAATTCTCTAATAAACTGTTGATCATATCTTTAAAAGTTCTATTTTTCCGTCCAGCTACTCCATTTTATTGTGGTGAATAAGGAGGTGTTTCCTCATGTACTATACCATATTTTGGCATTCTAGTACAACTAAATTGGAAGTATACTCTCCTCCCCTATGAGATCTAATTCTTTTAATTTTCTTGCCAGTTTGATTCTCTACTTCATTCTTAAAAATTAAGAATTTTTCAAGAGCTTCATCTTTACCCTTAAGTAGATACACATAACAATATTTAGAATAATCATCAATAAAAAGTGATAAAGTATTTCTTTTGATCACAAGTAAGCACTCCATTAAACTCACAAATGCCGGTATGAATTAAATCAAGTAATTCCGAATTTCTATCAATTGAATGATAAGGTTTTCTTACTTGTTTAGTAGTAGCACATACCATACATTTCTTAGTTTTATCAATAGAATGCTTATGGATTAAATTTAAATTCATCATTCTTTTAACAGAATCTAAATTAACGTGACCCAAACGACAATGCCATAAACAAGAAGAATCACAATTCTCAAATACATAATTCAATTCAAAATAATCAACCACAATCGTAAAAAGTCCATCAGACAAGTAACCCTTGCCAATAAAAATTCCACCAAATAAAATTACAACTTTATTTAATTTAAAGGATAACTCATAACCCTCCTTAACAAGAATGGAACCACTAACAATGTTCCTTCTAATTTCGGGAACATGATGCACACCATGCAAAGATAGAACTTTTCCCAAAGGAAATTTTATTTCTACTTTTCCAATTCCTTGCACACTTGCAACACTTGTGTCCCCCATCATCACTGTTCTTCCAACCGCATGCTGATAAGAAACAAAGAGCGATTTATTAGCACATACATGCACATTCGCTCATGTATCTATTAGCCACTCATTGGAATTATAAATAGTGAAAATTTGAGGATTAATAGAAACGTACCCATTAGAACTAGTCCCACCAGTCACCATTTTGACTTGAGGTCCCCCAGATTGATCCTTGGCCTTTTAATTAGGACACAATTTGGCCCAATGCCCCATCTGTCCACAGTTCCAGCATGGTCGGTTTGCCTTTGGTTTCTTTGCAATTTTTAGTTTGGCCTTTATGGGTGTAAAAGATGGTGATCGTTTATTTTTAGAATTATGTGCTTGCTTTCCCCCAGTTATAACATGAGCCTTTGGTTGAAATTCAACAGGCGCAATATAACCCGCTTTCTTATGTACCTCCTGAACAGTAATGGAATGCATCAAAGATTTCCAAGTGATCTTTTTCATTTTATGTTTTAAAGTCATACAAAAATCTTCCCATGATTTGGGAAATTTTTCTATGACTGCCATCATTTTAAAATTTTCAGGCAATTCCATATCCGCTTCACGAAGAGAATGTAAGATAAACTCAAATTCTTGTGTCTGTTCTAACACCGATTTACCTTCTTTTATGTCAAATCGTAGGAATTTGGAAACAATATACTTTTCAATACTGTTGATGGATAGTGTACTCGGGGGTAGCTTATCCGAGTGGTTATTATGAGAATAACCTAGAGAGAAGTCAGAGCAAACAAGTAAGAGAGAGAGAGAGAGTAGATTGTATTAATGAACTCGAGATCTCCTCCTACAAGAGGAGTAGGGGCTACTATGTATAGCAGCAATAAATGCGATGAGAGTACACGTGTCAGTAATCTAACGGCCGAGGGGTCACCTCAATCGGGGTGGCACCGCACTTGCATGTGCACCGCATTAAATGCGGTGGTTGGACGTGATGCCGCATTAAATGCGGTGGTTGCTTGTCTCCAAAGGGAATCTTCGATGATTGAGCTGTTAGCCGAAGGCTCTTCTCGCGGCTGAGGGCTACGTGTAACCGAAGGCTCGGTATAGCCGAAGGCTACCCTTATGCCGAAGGTTCGGTATAGCCGAAGGCTCCCGAATTCTGTCATTTTCTCCCAGCAGCTTCGTATGCTCGAATCTGGATGCCCTGTGAGTTGTGGAGCCCTCGGCTATAGTGCCGAAGACATCCCTAGACGCGCTGCAGGTTCCTTTGAGCTCGGGCCGCGGTGCTTTTGGGCTTTTTACGCCAGTTGGGCCTGTGTTGGAGTAATGGGAGTCTGTGGGCCGGGGGTTCCCGGGCCATATACTCCATCAACTGTGATCCTCAGTATTATATTTCCTATCCAATTCATCCCAAAGGTCCTTAGCCGTGCCGTGGAGGGTGCAATAGACATCAAATAACATGTTGGAGAGATCCAACAAAATCATGCCTTTTGCAATTTCATCCCTCTCACGCCATAAAGCTTGGCATTCAAGACTTTTGGGATCCGACTCAACAATGGGGGGGGGGGGGGGGCACACCGTCATAATTACCGAGAGCAAGCCCTTGGCGATTAACCAAATTTTCATACGTTGTTGCCAACGCTTGAAAAAATGCCCAGAAAATTTTTCTGGCATTCCAGTTAAATCAACCCTTTGCGAGCCCGTAGCAACATAGTCAGGTGTGTCACCACAATTAGTCACAAACACAGAATTAACATTATTTTCATGGATTTCATTCACATTATTCTCAACAACAATATTTTCGGAAACTGCATTTTCCAAGTTTGCCATTTTGGATTTTCCAAAACTCGAGAAATAATATCTTTCTTCAAGATTGATAGAAAAATAATATTAAAATTGCGAGTTTAACCAGATAAAAATCCCGAGTTTAAATCAAATCACCAGACAAACCGCCAAATGCCAGAAAAGAAAATAATAATAATAATAATTAGAATAAATTAAAATAAATAAAAGTAAGGATAAGAAAACTTATCGCAGGATCGCCCGTTAAAACGGACTGACCTTGAAGAAAGATAGCCCCCGTATCCCGATAGCTATTCAGACGGGTCTGGCTAGCTCGCTCCCAGGATAATCCTACACCGTTTCAGGCTCGTAGCTACCTTCGACCGTTGCCAAATTTGCCTATTATAGATATGAAGATTCAAGAGCGATGATAAACTCTTTTGAATTGAATACGGAAGTAAAGCTTTGGTATAATAAGCTAAAAGACTCTAAAGGGAAAAGAAAGGCAAAATGGTAGTCCTGCTTCTCTTCGCTACGTAAGTGGAGGATGGCTTTTTGGAGGCCGTGACTTATATACCCTCACGTTGGAAATCAGATATGCAAATATAAATTCATATTTACTGAAATTTAATTTTCAGAAGTGGCAACGTTAATCCAATTAAGCACGTCAGTTACAATCCTAATATTTTGGATGAGTAATTGCTTTGCTTTACTGGTCATGCAGTCCAAAAGTCCCAAATTCAAATTTTCGAATTATTATTCCCATTCGATTGCAATTTGAATTTAGAGGCCGTTTGGCAACACTGTTTTTCGGCTTATCAGGCTTATCTAGGGGTGGGCAAACGGGTCTTGGAACCGCGGTCCGGTCCGGGTAATGGCGGTTCGAGTTCAAAACCCGCCGGTTCCATTTTTTGTTGCCATAAAACGGTCCGGGTAGGTCCGGGTATTTTTTTTAAGGACCCGGGCCGGTTCCAAAATAAAAAAATATCGGGTACCCGGCCCGTTATATATATTGTATATTAATTTATTACGGAGTAATAGTTTTGTGATAATCGGTTTTGAAGTAGTTTTGTTTTCCTTTGCTAGAAGTAGGATTTCAAATTGAGTTACAATAACATCATTTTGCTTTCAAATTATTGATTAAATTTTACATAAATTTCTTATTACTTTTTATTGTTATTGAATTATTCCTTTCTATGGAATTTAATTATTTGTTAAAAATGATTTTGTCATATTTGTTTTTATAATATTGTTCTTAAAATATAAATTGTGATTACAACCCTCATGTATATATGTGTTAACTTTGGCTAATACTGAAAATTTAATAAAAAAAAAAACACAATCACCTTAATATGTGATGTTAGACAACATTTTTAACTTCAAATGTTAGAAAATATGTATTTTGGCTATGTTGTTGATTTTTGGAACTTCTTTAATTATTTGGAACTTATATACATGAAATTATGGAGTATTGGACTTGTCACTTGTGTTACATGTGCACCACTATGTTGTTATTTTGAAGCTTGCTAATGTACTACATTATTGATTATTGATTTTTGGAACTTTGTGAGTTTTTACTAATTTTAAGACATGAGAATAGAAACCGTAAAACCCGGACCGGACCGACCCGTTTTAAACGGGCCGGGTAAGGTGCGGTTCCTATTTTGAAAATTGCAATACCCGGACCGGACCGGACCGTACAATGGAACCGGCGGTTCCATTTTATTTTGCATTACCCGCCCCGACCCGACCCGTGCCCAGCCCTAGGCTTATCAGCCAACTTTTTCACCAAACATGTAACTTTTGTTTTCACGCGCTGAATTGTGTAATAAGCAGAAAAAGTAAGGTTGAAGTTACTTTTCTGGCTGTATTGGCTGAAGTTACTGTAGATGACCATTTTAGCTATTTTTACATATAATTTTTTCTTTATTTTATTAATAAAATATATTTAAAAAATATTTTTTTCTTAAATCAGCAGAATCAGCCAATGCAGCCACTTCAACCAAAACTTCATAAATTTCAGCAGAATCAGCCAAAACAGCCGATTTTCGTGCTACCAAACGGGTCCTTAATTGTCCAGCTCTACTAATTACTTGGTCCGTATACTTGATACATTTTTCTAATAGTTTATACCTGAGTAGGCATACACGTATCACATAATGTATCAAGTCACCTTATATGATACTTAAACAGTTAAACTTAACAATGTTCCTTATCATATAATACTATTGTTTAGGGACCAAACAATTTTCTCCTTTAATAAAAGCAGGACAATAAGGGTTGGTTTGCAACCGCTTTTAAAAAAGCACTTCTCAACTTTTGGCTTTAAAAAAGCACTTATTTTCCCAAATACTACAACTTTTATTTTTCTCGGCTTCCGCGTCAAAAGTGCTTTTACTTTTTCTATTACACAAAAAGCACTTATTTTACCAAACACTACTCACTTTTACTTTTCAAAATCACTTTTTTCTCAAACACTATCAACTTTAATTTAATCACTTCTCCCCATTTCATTAAAAAAAGCATTTTTTTACAAGCAGAAGCTGTTGCAAACAGACCCTTTACAATTTTTACAACTATGGATTCTAATCATAAAATTATAGATATCCAAGTATAAAAGTTGTACTTTGGTGTACAAAACACCACTCCTAACGCATACTTATTTTTATATCATCATATTTCCAACATATTGCACATCTGTACTACTTGTAGGTTTACATGGACCCAATCACTAATAAAATTCTCAAGTGTTTCCAAATTCTATTCATGTTTAAGTTTGCCTACACTTAAATGTTCCTCGTATCCGCTAAAATTTCTCTTCGTCAATTTCATACTTCTACAATCTATTCCCTCACTCTGTGTTTTGATTTGTTAGCTAAAGTGATAAATTAAGCCACCGGAGCTTTTCCTCAGAAAATTAGATGATGAACAAATTTGTTGGTATTGATTTTGCAGCATAGCTTTGTACCATTCTGAGAAATGTTGATATAGATTGGTAATTCCATCTTGAATTGATTTAGAGAATTGATCGGGGATGGTTTCTGTTGGCCTTTGATCTTTTTATTATCACTAAGAATATTTATTTTGGGCAATTAAATATCGAATTTGTTATAGGTTGTGGTTGTTCTAATTTATTACGTACCTCTTTTAAGCATTTTATCTTCATTATCAATTGCCTTGGCCGTGGCATATCGACAGTAAAAATTCCTTAATTCAAAAAGAAAATAAAATTGGACGTTTAGGATGTTTTTTTGGACGGTTTTCAGTCCCAGACCAGATCAGACCAGACCAGACTTGACTTCTGTAGTTATAAAATACACAGAGACCAGACATTTATCAGACCAGACCAGACCAATTCAGACCAGATCAGACTAGACCAGCAAATTTCAGTTCAAAACAAAAAACATCCTTAACCCGTTCTGTCGACTAAGGATATTTTCTTGTGAAGTGTTTTTAGACTCAGACCAGACCAGACCAAACAGACCAGACCAGACTTATACAGACCAGACCAGACTTAAACAGACCAGACCAGACTTCTAGTTATAATAAATTACAAAATGACGAAACGTTTACGAGAGACCAGCAAATTAAGAAAACATCCTAATTCACAAATCAGTCATCCACTTTTGCCTTAACCCGTCCCCGAAAACTCGTTGATAATATCATAAGGTTTCGAAAAAGAAAACAATGGATACAACCAATTCCATGGGCCATGGTCATCTTCAATCCCTCTCAATCAGCCATGAAAGTCACCATCAATATCGATCTGAAAGGTAACAAGATTCAATCCTTATTTTAATTGCTACCTATTATTGGAAATTAGTTTTGATTCAATTTGGAGGCATCATCATCATATATTCATAAAATCATTATTATCTTTGTTAATTTGGATTGAATTGATTCAATTGAATTGATTCAATGTTTTCAGTCGTCAAACAATGAGGGTTGGTTCGTTACGTGATCCTAAAGATCATGTACAACCCCAACATAAACATGAACATGCTCAACCCCCCTCAATCCATCATCCCCATCCATCTGACAGGTATTAGATAGGCTTCACCTTCAACAATCCTCCTATATGCATGGATGATTATTATTGTTTTGATTCAATTTAGAGGGATCATCGTGTTTACTTACTCGATTTGTTTTCAGTGACTTAGATGATTACCGTGCCTGGGTTGCCTATTACACTGCGCGTGGGTATACATTCTCGGACGAATTCGGGGGCCTTTCTAGTCCCTACTATTCTGATGATCCCAATACCCCTCCAGTGCATCGCTCCCAATTCCTACCTGATGGTCTCGAATGGTTATTCTCTCTTCCTTTTTTACTATTAGTTCTTATGGTTTTTAAATGCAACTACGTCATTGTTTTAAGTGTATTTCAGGCGTGAAGGGAAGGTTTTTCGCAAGCTTGAACCTGATGATGAGTATTTAAAGTGAGTTTCGCGTATACTCCTTTTCTTTTCACTTTCCCAACAAATATACTACTCATAGTAGTACTAGTAGTAGGGATCTTCTTATGGTTTCTTTGTGTAGGTTTAAATCAAATGCTGAATGCGCACAATTCTTCACAGAAGATGGGTTTGTTGATACTAGTGGGTTGATGTCGGCCGTGTGTGTTGATTTGCGGAGCTCTGATTTGCAGAGCTCTGATTTGCGGAGCTCTGATTCAGAGAGCTTTGATGATACTAATGACCGGACATCTTTCTGCGCTAAGCGCACTCTAAAATACTTCAACCAGCATGAGCGTGATGATAAGGTAAGCTCGACTGTCTAATTTTTAGACAAACATGACTAAATCACAATGGAGTTACAATTTTACTGACCTCTAATCAATCTTTTTAACGGTTTAGAGATAGTGATAGTGATAACTTGATATACTGGTAGTATATTCGTATGTCTGAGTTGTTTTAGTTGCACACTTTTTGTTGTTTTGTTTTTATTGCAAACTTTTTGTTGTTTATGTATAACTAAATGGGGATTACCTAAATATGACAGGATCCTGAATATGAGTATGTGCGCGGTCTTTCAAGTTCTTTTTTCAAAACCGACTATGGATGGTACTACTACCATGTGAACTTCCTTGCTAAGCCGACTGGCACCAACCTGGAACCTGATATATTTTTTGCTGAGTTGGAGGCATCGCCATTAACTAACCTTCCACGTCAAGTTGTCAACTGGTGCATCTTTGACCCTAAACATGATGGAGGTATTAATATTATGCATATCCATTTGTAACGTTATAGCTTAGGACAAGTGTACTGGTTATTGTTTTGTTACCTTTGTTTTGAATCGACTTTGTTTTGGTTCTTGCAGTAAAGAAGATTGTAGAGAAGCCTGAGCGTTGTATGGTGTTACACCCTGAGGGGTTTTCATGTCCTTGTAACCAAAATCCTGATAAATTCATCAGTAATAAATTTATCAGTGGTGGGGTTGAGCTTTTGGGGGAAAGGCTTTATGCTTAGTTGATTGGATATTTGGATGGGTCTGTTTTGCTCTCATGTTTTTTCCCCCTTGCTGTTAGTGGCGAATATATAGAATCATAGTTTTTGACATTAGGTCAATCAGATTCCAGATGTTTTAATTGGAACATATATTTCTCAATTATCCTTAAATTCCTTATCGAAAAAGGCCTCTTTGGCTTGGAACTTGGAGGTTGATGTTCTGTATTTTCCCCTATTGTTGATCATACGGTGTGGTATTATTTCGTGTTGTTTTAGAACTATTTCCAGGGCATTATGATAGAATCAGCTAGCTGACTATAAGATCCCAATATTCTTAGACCTCAGCTTTCTGGCCACCTGCCTTCTTCCGAGGGGGATTGGCTTCTCAAGTTAATTAGTACGTAGTAGTATATTACTATCATTTAACACATTTTCAACTGCAAATGTAAAACTGCCAACTATCGAATTTACATCTGGTGAGCCTTTGACTATGTGTCCATGACTCCATGAGTCTAACTGTCTAAGCATCATAGTTATATAACAATAATTCTACTTTAGATCGATTCATTTTTGTGTTTTTTGAAACATTAGATTGATCTCTATGTCGTCTATATTGTGTTTGAACGTTTGATATTACGAATTGCTAATCCAGTACAAAGAACATTGATACTGGTCTTTAAAGAAGGGAAAAGGATGTTGAAACGAAATTAATGCAAAAACTAAAACGGGGAATAATACAGGTGTATAAATTAGAGCCAAGGTTGTGTGATCAAAGGAAACATAATGAACCAAACTATAATGAATGATCTCATAAAAAGAATAACTCTGAAATTCAATCTTAATGAATTTGTAGCCATTCTTGGGTTGCATAGCACAGAGCATGATTGGTTATGGTTAGCAAGTCTTACATTTGTAATAGCAGATTATCATGCGCGCATCAAAATAGCCTCGTCTTCTTATGTAAAGCCCTCAGCAGCAATGTATGGATCCTCCAAGATTTCCTACAAGTTTCACCTTAGAATAACATTTTTATCAGATGAGACCAAAGCAAGCAGGGGCAGATTCAGGTGGGAGTATATGGGGACAGATGCTCCCACCAGATCGTATATAATGTGCTGGTATTTGACGGTGTAAAAGCGATAATTGGCTCGGTTTATCTTCCAACGATATACAAGATACAAACAGTGACTCGATCAGAAATTTAGAACTATCAATGAGTTTCAGGCTAAGACGCTTCAAATACAGCAAGTTCACACCCAATCCATCATCAGGAACACTTGAAATTAAACCAACCGTTGGTACTTCTAAAGTAAATAAAGTAGTACCATACAAAACCCAACTTGGTATCGATATAGGCCGATAATAAGCAGAGGTTACTACAATTACCTCAACAGATCGGGTCTGTATGTGATTGAAAATTTCAGCAAACAAGGGATCTCAATTCCTCTGGAAAGGAAGATCATAATGGACATGAAATACTTCTATTTTTGGCGATTTCAACTTCTGCGACACCGTACATGTAGTATCTGCAGACTGTGACAATACCTTATGATTCAACCAGATGCTATTGGTTTGCTTCCAAATGTCATACCATCGAGTACTAATAACAGAAGTTCTCACTGCCGCATCAAGAGGGAGAAAAGATACAATCTCAGAAAGCATATTGGGTTGGCCCAACTTATGAACAATGCTCTGCGGGTAACTGTTTATATTAGATGGTGTAAGGCCCATTGGCATTGGCTTACTTCAACTATACTAATTTCGAATGGGTCTGCGAAAGTGGGCTATCTAAACCCTACTTCCCAACAAACACACAATCAGAATGGCCACTATTACAAGTTATTTAAAGGGAAGTCCAAAAAAAATTGACCCTAACTATGATTGTAAGAATATCAATAGCAATCTCGAAATCCCATCCACGGAATTACTAGCGGAAATACATTGTTCATGATAATTGAGCTTCATTTGCTTGAAATTCAAAATTAATAAGATAACTCGTTGAATAATAAGATACCGCTTAAGCAAAGCCCAAATACACAAGAACAAAGCGGACAATGGCCTTACAAATTAATGTCATCAGTGTATTACCACATATTCTAAAACTTGACGTACCGTGTGCTACACACACGGTGCATCAACTAGTAGAAATAAATAAGTATACTTGGATAAATTTATAAGTACTTAATAAGGGCAGTTTCACCGCAAATACAAACACTAATTTATGCACTTTTTTTTACGGATTTGAAGTTGGACTCGGCTTTCCAACTAGTATACACAAAGGTAAAAATATGGTCGTTATTGGATGTGATGGAAACTTCCTAGCTATTATGAACGATAATAAATTTGTTACAACCCACCTTAATTACTATCTGTTGATATTCACCAACAAATGAATATATGTTGGTGCTAGTTCAAGGATGTCAATAGGGAGGGGCGGTGGTGGATATAGGGTGTACCATCCCCGCCCCGCCTCGTTTATATGGCTCTCAACCCGCCCCATAACCCATGATGAGTTATGAAATCTCAACCCACCTCCGCCCCGCCGCGGGGCGGTGGTGAGGCGGTATCCACCTTAACCACCTTATTTTTGCACCTAAATAATCACAATATAACGTAAATGGTTTTAAATTTCAATATACTACACTCACACAAAATAAAATTATGAATTAGAGTTTTAGTAGCTAATAAATACTTGATTTTCATAAACAACTCATTAAAACTAAAAGGAAGAGAACAATTTACATATAAATTAACCAAAATAGTTGTATCCATGGTGGGGGATGGGGCGGGGTGGCGAATAGGCATGGGAAATCTTAAAACCACCCCGTCCCATGACCCGTGGCAGGTTTGAAATTTGAAAACCATACCCGTCCCATGACCCGCTAAATTAGGATCCACCATTTGGGGCGGTGGTGGGGCGTTATCCTATTTGACCTGCCCCACTGACATCCCTAGGTACTTGTCCAACAACTATTATCCGTGGGTAATATTTTTCCCCACATATACACTTCCATCACCGATCACCAATATAATTAGAAATAATGACAGAAGTAGGACTTGCAGCTTCTCATTAGACAAAAGTAAACTATTTTTCGGACATGACAAAAAAGAGACCAAAATATATCGAAGTGTCTAAAATACCCTCAAAATAATATTACGGTCCAATTTTTCTATGCATCTTGGGCCTTGGCAGCTGAAACTTCAATTCGCAACAATGGAGCCTGAGAGAACATTCAGCGTCCATTGATCTCCAACGCTACAAGCATCTCCTCCGCAGATCAATACTCTATTAGTCTATTCATCTTCTTCGTGTGACGGGCGACACCATGCGACGGCGAGCTTTGGCCAAGGACGAAGTCTTCTTCGCTCTATCTGCTTCTTCTTCTCCGATTTCAAATCAGTTTCTTCGATGCTAGGGTTAATCAGGATTTGGATTTTGAATCTTCTTCGACCTATATCTTTCTCTCTGATTTCGAATCCTTTTGAATCCTCTCCTTCGTGGCTAGGGTTAATATAGCAGCGGCGGCGGCATTATTCAATTTTCAGATCTGTGGTGTGGCTGGTAGTTACAGGTGGGTCTCGATGGTGCAGGGGGTGGGTGAATGTTGATGAGTCTTTGACCGGCTGGTGGAGTTTGTGGGGTAGTGACGGGTCTGATGGGGCAGGGGCGAACCAGGGGGCGGTTTCCAGGCGGATTCGATGGCCAGGGCGGCGGCGGTGTCTGGGCGGAGGTGGTCTCCATAGCGGCCGCGACTTCCTGGTCATGGTAGTCTCACCATATAACTGGCAGCTTTCCATTGCCACAAGGAACTGGTAACTGCGGGGTGCAGCATCGGCACATGGTAGTGGACGGACCAGGCAGCGGCAAAGGCCTACTCGACGGCGGCAGGCTCGGTGGCGGCGGTGAAAGTAGGTGGTTGGGGCGGGGGGTGGCGTGGCGTTTGGGAGGGGGCTGGGGTGAAGCAGGGGAGGGGAGGGGTGAGACAGGGAGCTATGACGTGGTGCTGGCAGTGGTGGTTGTTGGCGGTGGACGGAGGTGGTGTTCATCGACGGTTGCCAGCCAATGGTGGTCGCCGGTTGTCACCGGAGGTGGTCCTCATCGGTGGTGGCCGGAGTGATGGTCAGTAAAAATAAATGATCGAACCGATAATGACAATCGCTTGGATTGAATAACTATGGTCAAAATCGGGTAATTATAATTAGACAGGTTGGGTAATTATAACTAGACGGGACATAATTGAATGGGTCCGGTAATTGTAACTGGACGGATCGGGTAATTATAACTGGACGGGTCGGGTAACTTGACGCGTCGGGTAACTGTAACTGGACGAGTCAGATAACTGTAACTGGACGGATCGGGTAACTGTCATTGGACGGATGGACGTAGGTCGTTAAACGGGTGAAAGTCACTATGTTATTGGACAGAAATTTTGGTAACTAATGATTTTTGGTCACTGGTGAATTTTGGATGTTTGGTCACTAAAATTTTTTTGTCACTGGAGAATTTTGGATGTTTGGTCACTAATAATTTTTGGTCACTGGTGAATTTCGGATGTTTGGTCACTAATGATTTTTGGTAACTAAGGAATTTTGGATGTTTGGTCACTAATTATTTTTGATCACTGGATGAATTTTGTAACTATGTCATTGGTCACTGTAACATTGGTCACTGCACATTTGGTCACTGTGACGAGTTACTGTAGCAAGCCAGTGGGTTTGGACTTAGTAAGGGTGTAATAGTCCCTTAAGTATTATTTAGTCTTATTTTTGGAACTTAAAAGAAAAGTCTCTTTTTTTGTCCAAATGCTTTTAATTAGTATTATTTGAGGACAAACCCCATATAATTACACGTGGGCAAAAGTTTATGAATGTTGTGAATTAAAAAAAAAAAGAGAACTTTCATTTAGGCTATAAGGGATTCGAACCCACGTGTGCAATATTGCACATAGCTCCCATTACGCTGATAGCCTTGTACACAACTTAAGTTTAGTGTGTTAAGCCAATAAGCAAACGAGAGTTGCTTAACACAACACGATAGAAGCACCAGGATTCCAGGAACATGAAACATAACTACTACAACAATAGACATGACAATAGGGTAGCAGTAAAACTAGCACGCTAGCACCAATAGTGCAGCAGTCGCAGTAGCAACACAACACCAATAGCAGTGCAGCGCAGCAGCAGCAGCAGCAAGGACAGTGCTCTAGCATCAGCAGCAGCGACAGTGCAGCAGTAGCATCGGTAGCAACATTGCAGCAGTAGCATCTGCAGTGATGATAGTGCAGC